AATAACAATAACAATAACAATAACAATAACAATAACAATAACAATAACAATAACAATAACAATAACAATAACAATAACAATAACAATAATAATAATAATATCTCTATTTCTCATTCTAACCACGAGAATTAGCCCAGAAGTCGAAGACTTGTGCGGGAGAGGAGGCGGCATATTATTACTATGATGCAGCCCGCATTTGCACCCAGGAACAACTTATGTTGGTAGGTCCTAACTACCACTCAGTGCAGGAATGAGGGAAACCTGGAAAACCTCATTAATTAGGGGGGTGGTTATATGCTATCACCATTGCGTTAGATGCGGTACACTTTTGGGTTTCAATCAATACTAGAATCATCTCAATCGGTTCATCTCTTCGAATCTTCTCAAAAGAAAAATCATTTTATGTTTTTGTTACATATGAATTTCTGCCTATAGGAATGATTCCTTAGACGTATTATCTTCAAAATGTTTAATAAATTGTTTCTTGTAAACCAACCATTTGGTATTAAGTTTGTCATGACCTTATCAACTTACAACTATATTTATAAAAAGACTGACAGATTCACAATGCTTGTACCGCAACTATTAATTGGATTGATTGATTTGACCATTTACTTCTTGCGAAAATCAGTTTTCTAAAAATGCCACATATAAGTAATTATAATTTGTAGAAAATATAAATATGAGAAATTGTAACTGTCATCTTCAAAACTTAAATATCTTACAATCTCTTGTTGTAATAATATTGAAGATATTAAATGTGGTTTAGAAATAAATAGTGTTAAAGTGTAATTTCAATTAATTTTCAGTAAAAAAAGTACGACTATCACTTGAGACTATCAAAGTACATATTTTTTTTATTTTAAACAGTTGTAGATATTTTTTTGGAAATTTGTAGGTAGTCAATGATAATATAATATAATATAAAGTAGTAATTGCCATAACTCTGTCAATTATAAAATTACCGTTTACGTTTAAGTTAAATGTTTTCAGGATGTAAAAAAGTTCTTGGACGATGCGAAGGAGGGGTGCATTTACGTAAGTTTTGGTAGTAATGTCAAGAGTAGTCAGCTGAGTCAACGTCTGCTGAAGGCATTCATCGAAGCTCTAGCGGACGTGCCATACAAAGTGTTGTGGAAGTTTGAGACCGCAACAGTAGGCATGCCCAAAAATATCAAAACCGCTAAATGGTTGCCACAACAAAAAGTTTTAAGTGAGTAGAGTGCAATTAATCCATTTATTTAATTTCCACTTGTGTAGATATCCTGAAAATGTTCTTAATATCCATAATTCAAATACTTTTCGATAATTGGGAATTAATTATATCTTAAAATATGATATAATTATCTTTTTATGTAGATCATCCTAATGTGAAACTGTTCCTCAGCCAGGGAGGTCTTCAGTCTATGGAAGAAGCAATTTATGCTGAAGTACCTTTTGTGATAATACCATTCTTGTCTGATCAGTTCCAAAATTCGAAAATACTGAAAGATAAAGGCGTTGCCGTAGTTTTGAACAGACAAACTCTTAGAAAGGTGGAATTAAAAAATGCACTTATGGAAGTAATGAACGAACCAAAGTAAGTTTCGATAAAAGTTTATAAATAGCGATATTCTCCTAATTCTCTTTGAAATTTTTGATGTACAAACACAATTTTTCAGGTATCGTGATGGAGTGAAAAAAATTAAACAGTTAATCTTGGATGAACCTATGACTGGATTGGAGAAAGCAGTGTGGTGGACAGAATACGTGATTAGAAATAAAGGCGCCAAGCATTTAAGAAATCCAACTGCAGATTTACCATTTTATCAGTATTTCCTCTTAGACGTTTTAGGATTCTTGTTCCTAATAGTTATTTTAATAGTTACTGCCTTAGTGTTAGCAGTGAAGAAGATATCTAACTTGCTTTGGAAGCTTTGTAGTGAAAAGGCAAAAACTCAATAATTATCTTTGAACGTAATATTGTTATTATTCTGTTTTTAAAAGTATTAGCAGCGATATAGGTTAATGCTGAAACTTATTTAATTGATCTCCTTATTTGAATGTTTTACTAATTTTGTAATCATAAGGCACGTTACTTGATAAACAATAAACGTGGAGAGAGTGTTCTTATATGAAACTTTTTAAAAATTTATATAAACTAATAAGTGAATTTAAGATGATTTGAGAGAATTTAATGATTAAAATTGTGACACATTAATCTATAGCAATAGTCAACAATTTTATATCTAAAACCTACGAACAGGAAAATCGGAATATCTATACTACATAAAAAAAATCAGAAAACGTATAAAACATTCGACTAATAAAATCTTTTTATGTTTAAATACATACAAGTTATGACTCAACTTTATATTATTAGGTAGTTTGCTATAAATTTATAATTTATGAAGCCAATATAATTATTAAGTAGCTTAGATAAGGCTGAGAATTTGGTAAATGGAAAAGGTTTTGCTGTCTAGTATGTATTTTTGTCATGAATCATTATTTGAGCGTATGTTAATTTTTAAATCTGTGAATATACTTTTCCAAGATGTATCGGGTGGTTCAAATTGGTCGGTTTTCAAGGGTTACTGCGAATCTGTCATAGATAGAGCAAACTTGATAGATGAGTCGGGGGCTATTTGTTCGAGAAAATAACAATGGCGCAAACTGTATCTCTCTATCTATTATCGTTTTCGAGTTATAGGGCTTTTCTCGATTTTTAACTAAACCGTCTGGTGCCTTGTTTTCGTTTCCCTTTCAAAATATCTTAAAACGGTTTGAGCATTCTACAAGCACTTTTTTGAAATATATTTGATGGCATAAAAATAAATGTAATAATATTTTTAGTTTTTGTGATATGACCACAACTTGTGTTTTTTTTTATGTGGAATACCTTGTATTTTATTTCAAAAACGGAAAGAGCAATGCATTCCAAAAATATGTACTTATTATTTTTTGAGTGAATTTGTGGAAAATATAAAACTTTCAAACTAACTATAAACTATAAAATTAATAAACTGTATCCAGTATTTTTACATAATGTGCACATAATTCTAATGACATTTTTTACAAACGACGAATATACGACACGATACTTGTCTAAAAAAATTTGGGAATAGATGCGGCATGAAAAATGTGAATATCTTAAAAATTTTTTTCGTAAAATCCTTATAGTTTCCAAGAAAAAAATTATTGCAGTTGTAGTACTTTCAACCATGACATAGGTGGACAACCGTAGTCTCTACCGTCATTCGTAATACGCATGGAGAACCACGTGACCTCAGCGACTCAGTGTTTACAATAGTATTTTAGTAGTTGGTGTCAAAAATGGCTTACGTGTACTCGGAATTAATGGATATCGTTTTAATTTATGGTGAAGCAAGTAAACATTTATATTATGATAAAATGTTATGATGAAACAAGTCAGCATTTGTGTTAATTCGTAGAAATTGAGTAAAACGGACTCTAATGTCGACATTTTGAACAGTTGTTGTAACATCAGGTTTGTCAAATTATTTTATTAATTAAAACCACAAATTAATTTTATTAATTAATAATAACAATAACGGCAAAATCAGTTGAATTTGCTGATATAAAATAGGTGCAATAAAATTATATTTATTCGTTTCTTTGCGAAATTCTTTCAAGTTTTTTATCACTGCCGCCATGACGGTCGCATTGTGCCAGGTCAGGTTTTACAGTGGACCAGTTTCCAGTGCAGTGCAGAAGTGTATTTTTTAAATTTTCGAACTGCCCTTTTTGATTTTTTCTTTACAAAATTGTATTTGTAAGAGTCCCCTGTTCATCCATAATTTGTCTTTTGGATAAATTCTGAATCACCCTGTATTCATATTATATGTTTTAATTTTTCAGTATCCTAATTACTACAAGCATTATAAGAGTTATAATTTATTAATTATCATATCTTTTTTATGTTTTTTAAAGCATGCGTTTACATATTTCAAAATTCATTTCACATGCTTCTTAATAGCCAGAATAATAACCCATGTTTTTAAAGCTGAAAATAATGAAACATCCAGGCCAGTTATAAAAATTTCTATCCCCGCCCCCGCCTATGGTTTCTGACATCAAACACGAATCATGTGTACCAATTACCGGTCTCTAGTTATAAGACAGACCACAAGCGTTAGAATTATCACTTCGGGCTATGAACAATTGTCAGTTAGACGATACCTCATTTCTATTTTTAGTTTATCAATGTATTCAAGTCATTCTTCAAACACAGCTGAACGATGGTCAAATTTATATATCCTAGATTTCTATTAAGCTGTACATGCGTGTATTAACTTAGTGTTTACAAAAGGTTTCTGAAGTTATTGTTACTGGTGATAAGTTTTGTTTGTTCACATTGCGCTAACATTTTAGGGATTTTACAATGTCCGTCTTACAGCCACCAAAGAGCTTACATGCATCTGTGGAAAGAATTATCGTTAAGGGGACACAAAGTGACTCTTTAATACCTAACCCTCTGCATGATCCCAAATTAGTCAATCTTACGGAAATAGATATGAGACACTTATCGATTATTTTATCGATAATATAAGTCAGGCAGCTGAGGCAGGTATGCTGACGATGTGGAGTTTTCATGCGGGTATGTTAGAACTGATGTTCAAGATTTAATCCACAATCCGAAAAGTTTCGACGTAGTGTTCGTGGAATTCTTGGTTCCTGAGTGGCTAGCTTTTGCGGAAATATATAAATGTCCAAATGTTTTATTTGCCAGCATGGAGGTAACTGCGTCAATTTACCATCTAATAGGAAACCCAGCTCATCCTATAATGCATCCAGAATTCGTGTCGCAATTCCACAGACAGTTAACTTTTATTGAACGGGTGATGAGCACGTTAGTCAGCTGGTATTACAAGTATTACTTTGCCTTCACAGCTTTTCCTGAGAGGCAGAAGATTTTGAATAAGTCCAGTTATTGTCGACAATAACTGGACTTATTAGTGATATTGATTTGATGATTCTTAGTATAAACCCTTTAATTCTAGGTCAAAGAGCATTAGGTCTCAACACGATATCAATTGCTGGGTACAGGGATGACGTGTCGTCTCAGCCATTGCCACCAGTAAGTATTTTGGAAATAAAGTATCCCAGGAATTCCAATCACAAGTATGTAATTTAAAATTATTTTTATTGAGATGACTATTTAATCATTTAAAATTTATTATCTGTCGTTCAGTTAAAAAAGTGTTATCAGTTTTAGAATAAGTGTATCTCATAAAATTCATCTTTGATCTAATAGTGGAATATTAATTGATGAATGATTCTTATTTAATTAGTATTGTATCATTATTGTCGAGGGTAATATACGAGTACAGGAAGTGTACCATATTTTGGCACAGCTACTCAATGCCAACTGTCATGAATCAATTCTTTTCACCTACTGATATGAAAGCGATCTACTAATCAGTAAGGATTACGACAGAAGTAATGAAGGAACAGTATCACATTATGCGAAATAAATTTGTTTTCTTATGATTTTTGGGATTCAAATGCTCTGCAGGCTACAGACCCATCCAGCAGTGAATTATACCTACGATATCTAGTAAATAGTTCATTCTACTACTACGTATGTTCACTTCCACCAGGTTAAAAAATAAGCATAGGTTCTTAACTAGAGAGGACGTTTCGGATTAATGCAGGAAACTGTACCTATATTAGATATATTGTTCTAATGTATTCTCGTTACTCTTTGTCTCTGTTTGATAGTGTTTTGTTTTCACTCATTTTTCGATGGAGTATAATGGGTATTAAACCACGTATCATCTAAAGTATACTGAATGAGTCACTTTGTATGTATTGGGACCTCGGAAGCTGTAAGAGTGAAAAACGGTTAAGTGGTGAAAGGTTTAGATTATTTTGTTACTTATGAACTCTCGCAGACCGACCCTGCGTTCAGTTTTCGATATACTTGGAAAAAAAGCAACTCAATTCTTATTTAAAAAAATTACGTAAAAACTTTTTACATTAAATTTTTGAAGAGAATATTTTGTGGATTCGGATTTTAGTTTCAACTAACTTTTTTAATACAGGTGAGATATTGATCTGTTTGTTGAACGAACATGGCAAAGGAAATAATGGTTTTGAAACAAAAATCCTCAAAAGTCTTCAGTGAAATTATTTGCAAACGCTTAACTGATGAAGCTTTTACAGATTTCCAAAACTCGTAAATAATATAAAAAAGATAATTTGTTTTGTTTAAACATATCTCGAGAACCAGAACAGCTACTTTTGGTTTATAAGTATAATTAAGTTGGTAACATAGTTTTATTCACTTTCTATTCCACCGTTTTCCTATCTCTTATAATTTCTCAGTCCCCGTGCAGCCCAAGAGATCTCAATATATATTAAACATCACATTATCTTAATATCTTTAACATCTACAGATGGAATATAAACAAATAAATTTTCAATAAAAAAGTATTAAAGAGTATCAGAGGACATATTGCTTTCTTGTTTTCAACAGCAGAATTTTTTTTAAATAATTTTTTCATCAATGATAATATAAAATAAACAGCGTCTGTCGTGGTATACAGGGTGTGGCGTGTATAATCTATAAAAATTAAACTACAGCTTCCTAATGATATTTGTAATAGAAAAAGCTTATACGAAAAAGTTCTATTTTTGCATTTTTTTTTTTTTTCGTAAATTCAAGTTCAATTATGGATCAAAATATTTTCTCTAGAACGGTCCTGTCCGTGTGCAGTACGATAAGTTACGCGCTGTAGATCAGCCGCGTAAACAAATCGTCGTTGAAAGATAGAAAGATACTTTTCAATGTTTGGGAATTTTTCAATGCAAAAGTACAAACTAAGAAAAACAGATTTAAAAAAAAATGATATTTTCTTATTATAACAATTAACAGTAATTACTGTTACTTAAAAGCATTGTTGTTAGTGCTAGAGTTCGCAAACAAAACCACATCCGTAAGCATCTGTAGTTGCCAACTGCGTGCACTAAACAAACTCCATTAAAATATGTAACAAAATGAAATAAAACTTACCATTTCTAGAGAAAATGTTTAAATTGATCCCCATTAGTGCGGTTACAGGCATGGCACCGACGCACCCAATTTTGGCGAATATTTCCCCAAATTCCAGGTATTCCCCTAATTGTATCAGCAGCTTCAAGTATACGGTTTCGCAATTCGTCTACCGCAGCAATTGGAGTATTGTGAACCAATGACTTCAAGTGACTCCAAAGATAAAAGTCCATTGGAGTTAGATCGGGTGACCGAGGTGGCCACGGCACAGGACCAAAGCGTCCAATTTATCGTTGAGGAAGTATTTCATTCAAAAGTGTCGTTACTTCTCGAGTACTGTGTGGAGGAGCCACATCTTGAAGATAAAACATGCGTGCCCGAACTTGTAATGTCACATCGTCCAATAATCCAGGCAACCGGTTCTCCAAAAAGTCAGCTGGTCCATTTAGTCGTCCTTCAAGGAAATAGGGACCCACAAGTACATCGCTTATTATACCAGCCCAAACATTTACCGAGAACCGATGTTGAAAATGAGTTTCTCTATTCGCGTGAGGATTTGCATCGGCTCATATGTGCATATTATGGAAATTGACTTCATCACGGGTAAATGTCGCCTCACCTGTTACACAAACATAAGCAGGAAAGTCTACTTGATTGGCACGTTGCCGTAAAAATCATCTGCAAAAACGCATTCGTTGATCACAATCCGGGGGTAAAATCTGTTGAATTGTTTGCAGATGATAGAGGTGCAACAGCTGGCGCCCTAAGATACGATGTACGGTACGAGATGAAGTTCCTACTTGCTGTGCGAGTCGTCGAGTACCAATTGAGGGGTCTTCGTCAAGATTTTCCAACACTGGATATTCAACATTAAGGTTCACTTGTTGACTACGTCCTTTTCTTCGAGGAATAACACTTCCCGTATCTCGCAGACGCTGAACGCACTTTAGGATTGTAGTTGCAAATGGGGGATGACGTTGTGGCCATCGTTCCCGGTACAACCTAGTCGCCGCAAGCACATTTTCTCCGGCTGCACCATACTCTAACACCATATCGACACGTTCGGAAATAGTAAATGCATTATTTTTTCGGTTCATTGTAAAACTAGTTTGTGCACAAACTAAAAAATTAAGCAAAGTAAGAAATAAGGGTATCGCTTTTAATGTAATAAGTACGCTTCTTATTTTTTATTTCTTTATAAAAATTACACTGCCACTATCGTGGAATTACAAGTTGCCTTCACACATTTTTTGACAATGTAACCTAAACTTTTATTATTACTAGTACTAGATTATACCGACTTAAATTACAAGGTTCATCTTGGGTCGCATAAAAATATTTCCAAAGTTTTTAATAAATAACACAGAGTCGGCCTTCATTTTAATTGAATAAATGAACTTTAATTTACAAAAAAAAAACGCGAAGATAGAACTTTTTATAATATAACAGTTTTCTATTACAAATATCTTCAGAAAGCTGTAATTTAATTTTTATAGCTTATACACGCCACAACCTGTATATTACATATTTGTCAATGGACCTGTGATCATCTCTTTTCTCCTTCTGTTTCGTAAATTTTCGATTAGGTCATATTGTGTTTTTAGGAAATTTTTGGACGAGGCCAAAGAGGGGTGCATTTACGTAAGTCTGGGTGGTAACGTCAAGAGTAGTCAGCTGAGCCAACGTCTGCTGTAGACCATCATCGAAGCTCTATCAGACGTACCTTACAAAGTATTGTGGAAGTTTGAGGCCCAAACAACAAGCATGCCCAAAAATATAAAAACCGCCGATTTTCACTTATGTATAACCTGAAAATGTTTTTAATATCCGTAATTTGAATACATTTCGATAATTAGGAATTAAGTCCTTTCAGAATATTGTATATTTTTGTGTAGATCATCCCAACGTAAATTTGTTCCTCAACCAGGGAGGTCTCCAGTCTATGGAAGAAACAATTTATGGTGAAGTACCTTTTGTGATAATACCATTCTTCTCTGATCAGTTCCAGAACTCGAAAATACTGGAAGATAAAGGTGTCGCTGTCGTTCTGAACAAACAAACTCTGGACAAGAATGAACTGAAATATGCAATTATGGAAGTAATGACAGTACCAAAGTAAGTATAGGCTGAATCAATTAATAATGGTGTTCTGTTTACTTTGAAATTGCAACAAATGTCTTTCTTCAGGTACCATGATGGGGTGAAAAACTAAAACAGTTAATCTTGGATGAACCCATGACTGGATTGGAGAAAGCCGTGTGGTGGACAGAATATTTGATTAGGAATAAAGGCGCCAAACATTTGAGGAATCCAGCTGCAGATATACCATTTTATCAATATTTCCTCTTGGACGTTTCAGTGTTCTTCCTCCTAATAATTATTTCAGTAGCGATTACCTTAGTACTGGCAGTGAAGAAGATATCTAACCTGTTTTGGAAGCTTTGCCCTAAAAAAGACAAAACTCAATAAATATTTTTTGATCATCTAAAGCAATGCTATTTGGAATTATATTAGTAGTATATCTCAAAAAACATTAATTTTGATTGATTGAGTTGACATCAAGCTTACTCAGTTCATCTTCTTATCGGTATATTTTAATAGTTTTATAATAAGAGTACTTAATTTTTAATTAATTTAGAATTATTCAGAATAAATGCTGTTCCTTATTTACCCGTATAAATTATTTTCTTTCTTTTACGTAGGTATAGATATACAAAATATTGAATTAGCAATTAATTAGGTCTTTATTGTGATATCCAAATGCATTTTGACAATTTTTTTTACCAAATAAATTATAAGAAGTAGTCATATTATTTGAATCAGATGTCATAGATTTCTGCTGACAGTGGCACAATACTTTTCCAGATTTAAAAAAAAATCTGACCGGGAACATAAATGGCTTTTGAATTTTGAAGCATCTATTAACAAAACTTGAATTATTATTAGAGTAGGTGTATAGGTAGAAAATTGCGATCTTTGCGACTTTTGACAATTTTTTGAAAGGAACAGTACGACAGAAATTGGATTATTGTAAAAAAATTTATTCTGTCTAACCAGGAATATCTCATTGAGAAAATTCGTATTTTTATACGTTTTTTAATGATCTATAATATTAAATTTATAGAAAAACCGCAAACTCAAATGTCTTGTCAATAAGGATTATGTAAGGTCTCTCAGGGCTCTAGAAATTTATAATTTTTATTGTGGGAACAGGTTATTGGTAGTAAATGTAAAATTCTTTTATTATATCAAAATATTAATAAAAAACAAATCACGTTGAAGCTATGTAACCCAAATAGTATTGAATTTTTGAAAAAATATAATTGGAATTTGTACCATTAGTTTTCGTGTAGAACTATCTCCTAAGGTTTATATATACAGGGTGTTTCAGTCATAATGTCATTAATTTTAACAACGTATTCGGAAGGCCTAATAAAGATAGAAAATAGAAAAAATTCTTGACCTTTTAAAAAATAAGCAAATTACCTGTTAACTCCCGTTAATTCGGCACTCTAGTTTTTAATAGAGAAACCGCCGCGTAGGCCGGCGGAGTACACAGCAATCGAACGTTGTAGCGAAACAGCTGATTTCCTAGTCGTGTCGTTCCGTTTTGCAATTGCTTTCAAAATCAAAGTGTGACGGATCTCAACTTTATTAAGACTTTATGGACGAATGAGTAAGTGTTTTTAGCCGTATTTGTCATTTTATATAAGTAGGTACCATGCAACTCGGAAAAGTAATAAGTCACACAATAAGGTATACGTACTACAAACTGAATATTACCTACTTGAACATATGAATACTAAAAATTCATATTCAATTACAAAACAGTGCAAATGTTAAGAATAGGTATTAAAGTTAGATTAGAGACCAAACAGTACGGTATGTCAAGGTTCATACTCTCGATTGAGGTCAGTGTCAGGAACAGTTAGACACTACAAACAACTTATTCCTTTCGCACCACTTCTATCCATAAACTAATAAGTGACGTCATTGGTATTATAAATCGAATAATAGATAGCGAAAATATTTTAATGTATCTGCTTCGTTATATCCCATATTATTTTTAGCCGTACTATCATTTTAAATTGATACCGTACTACTGTTTTGAAAAGCAATAAGTCCACGGATTAAAAACGCATTAAACGCTAGGTTAACGACCTAATATTACGGTCGGTCAAGGTTTACTGTCGATACACCTTTGTAGGTCAACGGTCAAGAGAGGTCCGAAAAGGAGTTTAAATGATTTGAAAATTTTTTTTTCATCATAAAAATCCATTTTAAAATTTTTTTAATAGCGTATTTCTATTCTACTCATTTTCTCCTATCTTCCCTTAGAATTAATGACATTATGACTGAATCACCCTGTATACAACTGAAGGCCAATAAAATTGAAGCTAGAGTTACAATATTCCCATGTTTTAGCGGTATATTTTTCAATATTTTCAAAATCCATGCCGTTGATTTTTATGTGGATTTAAAAAAACTTTACATGAGGAACTTGCACAACTAAAATTTCAACATTTTGGTACTTTATATTGCAAATACACAACTGTACGTCCTGAGTGTATACCTATAGATTTTGGCCAAATAATTTGCCATTATTTGACACATTTATATTTGAGGAATGACCCGTGACCGCACAATCGGGAACCGGCTTTATATCAGAAAAGGAAACAGTACGGTCATCCGTAAACTTATTTATTTCCACTATCTACAGTAAATAAGTATAGTCATCTTTATTAAATACATTGTTTTTAATGTAATTGACCTCATCGCTCATAAGACTATTAAATCATAGATTGTCAATTTTAAAACAAGTTTTAATTAATTTTTGATACTGTAAATAACAGTCAAACTCGTTGAAATTTTATAAGCTTTTATTAAAGTACATATAGAAGGTATGTACAATTTGACACCAACTAAGTACAATTTGCTCAGTTTGTATAAAATATGAAAACCCAGATTTCCTCAATAAGATTCTACTTACCGATGAGGCGACATTTACTAGATGCGGAGTTTTCAATTGGAAGAACAATCATTTGTGGGATTCCGAGAATCCGCATGCTGTGAAAGAAAGACATTTCTAGCATGAGTTTAAGGTGAATATTTGGTGTGATTTAATTTCTGGTTTTTTTCATAGGACCTTTTGAATTATCACCCAATCTAACTGGACTTCATTATTTAAACTTTCTTCAACATCATTTGAACGAGCTTCTAGATGATGTACCACTCGCTTTTAGAGAGGTGGTTTATGCACGACGGTACGCCACCACATTTTGCCTTGCCAGTACGCCAGTATTTAAATGAACAATTTTCTCATCGGTAGATTGGCCGTGGAAGTGAATTTTGTTGGCCACCGAGAAGTCCAGACTTAAACCCTCTGGACTTCGCAGTATGGTCAAACTTAAAGGATGTGGTGTATCGTGAAGAAATTAATTCTGTCGAGGGGTTGCGGCAGAAAATACAAGTAATTGCGAATGCATTTAAAAATAATAGGGACACTGTTAAATATTCAGAGACAGTTAAGAGAGTGTATAGTAAAATGTATTGAGGTAGGTGGTGGACACTTCCAGCATTTAATTTAAGTTTTGTTATTATTACTATTATCAATAATTGAGAATAAAAAATAACCACAAAATACATACATTGAAACTTTTAAATGCAAATAACTTAGAAACCGATAAAGTTAGGCGATCTAAACAAGAGTACATTTTTTATGTAGAATTGAACGTGCTTTCAGATTTTTAACTTTTCTTAAGCATAGCTCAACAGATAATATGTTTTGAATAAGCTAAATAATACGGCGAAACTAGCTCCCTCTAGGAGCAACGTCAAAATAAGCTTCAAATTCGTAATTCTCACACCAAAAAACCCAATACTACCAATTTTCAGAGTTATGGTATTAAAACTTTCCCAATTATTAAGTGATTTCAAAATAAAATTTAAACTTTGACCAACGACATTCATATAAGGCATGATGAGCTCAAACATAATATTTTGGTGTCTAGTATCTCCAGCTTATTGTTGACCCATTCTTTCTGACTCACCCTGTATAAAAAAAGAAGATTTAACTACATCTATCATAAACCTGCTTCTGTGATCAAATTTCCGTATTCAGAGTGAGAAGGCCAATCAAAGATTTAAAGAAATATGATTACTCTATCTATATATTCTGTTGGTTATAAAAAAAATTCTAAAGCTATAAGAAACTATGGCCGTTACTCTCTTATTTACACAAACGTATCATAAATTATTCTAAAGGGAATAGATCATTAAAAAATAAGACTTTTTCTAATAATCTATAGGTTTATTACTTTTTGTTTTCAAAATACATTACATTGAAGTTATATTTTCTAAAAACGTTTTGCCAATATATCGAAAAGTTACTGACATATCGTACAAAAATAAAGCATATATTTTGGAGGATTTAAATAGCCTCGTTTGATAAAATTGTTAAATAAATTTTATAGGGTGATTGTTTATTATAAACTCATTCTTCCCGGAAAAGTCAACAAAAAATTCCGTAAATGTGTTTCTGACCCTATTTGAGATCTGAAGCCAGTAGAATCAGTTAAGATAATCGGTAAACTATTTGACGACTCTAACTGGATCATAAATTGTGTGAAAAAGTTAATCTCATTTTCATTTTGCTACACCTTAATAAAATATTAATACTAAAGGCATTATCCAAGTAATTATTATTTTATATTTTATTTTATTTTAAAAATTACAACATCCAACAGTTTACACTAATTACAGGATGAGGTAACAATGATAAATCACAGCAAATAAAATAACATACAAACAAGAACTAACCTAAAAACACTTTTTTAATACCGGCAATGGTTGTGTTAAATATATCAAGCTGGCTACTTATTAAATTGTAGTTAGTACAACACTGAAATAACGGAGACTTGCTCAAAACATTAGAACCTAGGAATATTTAACCCTAACTTTTGCAAAATGTTAGAATCATCAGTTTCTTTGTTCAATAGTTTAAACAAGAAAATAATTGAATAGCATTGCCAACGAACATTTAAACTTTTAAAACAGTGTCTCTGAAGCAAAAAGTCATGAGGTATACCAATCTCAGGGTAGATGCCATCAGATTTGAAAGACAACAGTTTCAGGAAACGTCTTTGAACAACTTCCAACTTGACAGATTGTGTCTGATAATACGGATTCCATACTACAGAGGCATACTCTAAC